GAGTAGCAATCATATTCCGTCAAATAGGTGTAGAGCAATTATACAGTCCTTTCTTCGTTGCCAGCACTACCTAGCTATAATAGGCCGTGTAATGAACTATAGAAATTCTAGTTCTGCCAAGAGATCATTACATTCATATACAACCAAAGTGATGCAGATATCAGTTATCATTATTTTCGATATGTCTTGAATATTTGCAAGCCTGGATCCTTTCAATTTGCAATTTCTGAAAATATAAGCCTTTGCTTATGCATTATTAGTTAGTTGCAATAATATCATTAAACAAAAACAGTGTAATTACAAGTTGTGCTTGAATGTATGAACTAATTTCCCTTGTCACAATTTCGCTCTCTTATGCACCATTGACATTTATATACGTTCATCTAGATATTCTCCCATTCCGTGACAATATGTTTTCCATCATGTTCTTGAAAACGCAGAGAAGCTGGCGATGATATATAAATATCACAGGATTACCGTTGACGTTTTTACAAGTTATCGTGTGTAGCGTTGACTCTCAAATAAGTGAACCGCTGATTGTGCAAATTCTTCCACAAGATTACCGCGTATAATGACTTTCAAACAAGATAATTGCGGATAGTGCTGACTCTAAATAGGATAACAGCGGTTATTGAAGACATCCTATAACCACTCACTTTTAAATAGGATAAACGAGGATAGTGCTGACTCTTAAATAGGTCAACTGCGGATTGTCTAACTCTTCAATAAGATTAACGCGGATAGTGCTGGGTATAAAGAAGGATAACAGCGGTTATTGAAGATATGCCGTAACAGCTGACTCTTAAATAGGATAAACGAGTATAGTGCTGACTCTTAAATAGGTCAACTGCGGATTGTCTAACTCTTCAATAAGATTAACGCGGATAGTGCTGGATATAAAGAAGGATAACAGAGGTTATTGAAGATATGCCGTAACAGCTGACTCTTAAATAGGATAAGAATGTTTTTTAAAGAATGCGATAACCACTGGCTTTTAAATAGGATTACAGTCGTTATTGAAGATATGTCAAAACCGATGACTATCAAAATTGGAAAACGCCTAATAGCGCAGACTTAGAATTCATCCAAATTAATCCAGTTTATATCATAGATCTTTAATGAGAAAATTATCTGTATAGTAAATGGAGGCAATTTATTTCCTACATTACTTCATTTGCTTTTATTCAAAACAGGGGACATGTTATTGGCATTTCTGTCCTCTTGTTTATTCTTTGCTGTTATAGATAGATTAACGACTTTAGGTACACTTGTTTATTATTATTATTTTAAAAAGTATTTATCATTGTATTGTTTGGCTTGAGAAAAGTGCTCATGGTTTACTCAGCAAAAGTCAAGAATCAAAATACTTAAACGATAAATTGAATTCTTCTTAGTCAAAGGATGGTTTTAAAATAATATTATTGAAAAGAGATATTCACTTGGATTTATGGTGTATTCAAACCTGGAATTATACTACTGTGATTCAGCTAATGACTGTTGGTACAACACCACCATACCAGCCACCACGGGCAAATAAAGACCTTTGAGCGTTGTATTTAATTTGGATTTCTCCTCCTGTTTATTCAGAACTTTTCTGGGGATATATTTACAATACCGTAAGTTATTTTAGCTACCTTTTTATTCCAGGGAAATAAATTATTTGTTGAATTTTACAAAGCTTGTTGCTTTTCACTATTTACTGTTACTTATTTTTAGAGCATAGATTCGTACCACAGCATTGTACACCAGAAGTAGCTGTAATAAAACAGCATAGAACACCAAGAACAGCTCTAATAAAACAGGATTTCACACCAAGAGTTGCTGAAAGAAGACAGCATGACATCCCAAATCCGAGTATAGTATAACCAACATATTTTTTAATGAACAGAGAACATACAGTTTTGAAAAGAATGAACTTTACCGCTCGATAAGTGATTGGAGGAGAGAAATGCATTGACTCATTCAAACATTGTGTAAGGTAATGTTGGGTCATACTGGCGAGATAAATTTGCTCGTTTGTTTGAGTAGGTTTATGCATTTTCACGAGAAAAATCTCTGCATAGGCGGCCAAGGAAGGTATAGGAGTGTATCCGATTTTCTGTGGTGGCTTGCGACGATAGTCACCCCTTAGCTATGTCGATAGGTAGATGTCCAGACCTAGGACTCAATGCAAGGCATCTTGTGGAGGTAGACGCATGTAAATTGTATTGTATATAAAAGAATTATCTTCTCTTCGTTACATATGTTTAATAATCATAATCTTTGTCAAGTCTAAATTTTGCCACTTTGTTCTTTCAAGAACATTTTCTGTTAATTTCTCATGTGCCATGTCAGCACAATGACACAAAATGTCCGAAAACATTGTCTTTAAAGTTATAAATACTTGCAATACTCATATTCTTACTGTGTGACGTTGTAAAATATAGTGTCACGGATTGTTCTTCTTTGTTAAAAACTTAAATATAATAATTACGATAATATCATACATCATGGTGCACAATTTTATAGATATTTTCGCAGTACATTTTGCCGTGGTCAGCGTGGCACATAACCATTAAAATTGACGTGTAGGCTAGACTCGCAATAAATTTCTGCTATGTGATATGATCTGTTTGGGTATGAGTGGAATTTAATTAGGACGCGCTAGGAAAACAGTCCGACAGATATGTCAATGTTGGGTTAAGTGGGGGAAATTACAGGGTTGAGAGAAATCGAAAGCACATTTTGGGAAGTCAAACGCCATTTGAAATATTTGTCATAAAATGATATTTTCCAGAATTGTTATTTATTTAGGCGGAATAGAGAGGATTATTCTGCCTACGATGTGAGCGTAAAAAAGTTTGGCGGTTAGAGAAAATTAATCCTGACAGGCTAAGGGAAACAAAGAGGTGAGTGTTTCTGGACGAAATTCAAGGTTTCAGATATCAACCTAGCGAAATTAGTAAGTCCACGTTTCTCGGCCGAAAGAGAAGATGGTACCGATATCAGCAAATGTAATTTTCTCATTAAATTATCCAGAGGACAAAGTTTTAAAATTTGAGGAACACCGAAAGAGAGATTTCGCTTCATATAAAAGGAAGAGAGTCTGGGTAAAGCACAAGGTCTTGTCTCAATCAGATTGCTGAGAAACGGTTAAAGACTGAAAAATGCAAAATTTCCTAAGGGTGACAAACGGTAGGTTTACGGTAGCTAGACGCCTCGACATGGTTGTGAGTATATTACAGGTTTATGACGGTGCCAAAACATGCATTACTTTTTACTTCTGAAGTTACGGTGTTGTTTATTGCACATCCTTTTGTTATTGTCATTAACAACGGCAGCATTGTTGAAGATGAGAAAAGTAGTTTTCGATACTCTTGCACTAACAATACACTGCCTATATTAGAATTAACAATGATACATACGAATGAAAATAAAGAGCTTTGAAAGAATTTGAACTGGCACAATAATTTATTGTTTTGTAACAAAATCAACATTTTATTTTCATATTTGTTCGTCAAATAAATTTATGGGATTTTGTTATAGGGAAAATGTTCATACCTAGTAACGTCTTCTTAGGTAAGTGAAGAAGAAGGGAAAACGTGCAATGTTTCATGCAAAGACGAAAATTAAAGGGACTGTAAATCATTTCAGACACCTTACGTGGTTATTTATCTAGAGTAGTTACGGAAACTTTAATGTGCTTGATAGCCAATGTGGTGAAGTCCTGTGATGTATAGGTACATACAAGAAAGAAGTTTGTGAAAATTTTTGAATCTGAATACAGACGACACCGTGCCTAGGTAAATTATTTGCATGTGCAGTAATAAATAGCATGTGTTTCCAGAGTACAAACAAAGTAGATAAAAAACTAATTACAGCAACTGATTCGAGCTACCATTTGCATTGCATGGTAAGCATTTACGTCTACGTGGAAGAGTTATAGTATTATTCGTGTACGTCGGCGTAGGGTATGAAAACTCTGATATCGAGAATGGAATTTTTCTTCTAATACAACGATGCAGCATAAAGAATTTGTTCTCACATCCGCGAAAAGAGGCCGAGGATCGAGGCCAAAATGGCGTAGAGTGAATGCTAAAGTAATTTTCAAGCATCAAAAAATCCAGTGTACACTTAAAATGGTATTTAAATGTATTGTCAGCATTCAAAGAATATAGTGGCTATGATGGCTAAAGTAATGGCAAAACAAAGTGTCCAAATTTATGAAAATGTGAACAGGTAACATGATAAAGCACAGTTTGATTAATAGGCATGACAATAAAAAAGACGATAGTAGCCCTCATTAGCTTTATTCTAGAACTGATTTACCTTTGATAAATAACAATGTGAATATGACTTCAAAGAAGATAGCAATTGTTACAACGACTTTTATATTGCGTCTCGAAATCAGACTACGGGAACTATGAACTTAGCTCAGTTATTTAGTGCAAAGAGTCCTATTTGCTCAGCACTCCGGCTGAAGCGCTGCTTGTTTCGTAAATGTGTTGCAATAATTGTTTCTCTTGATAACTGTTTTAAAGAATACCTAATTGATGTTGGAAAGCATGGAGTTTTTGCTACTTTTTATGTTATAAACGCTAGACGGTGAAAATTGTTCCCAAGCCGGCTTAAGGTCAAGTGTGAGGCCGGAATAAACATATGCACAATGGCGTTTTGCCTGGAAATTCTATATATATGCTGAAAAGGAATGTGAAACGAATCTGTTCTACGATGAAAATCCGGCTTGAAACACAAATTCATATACAACGAAATAAAGAAAAAAAAAACAAAATACCAGGTTAGGTTAGTGTGTGTAATTTGGATTTTAGAGGTAGCTTTAAAAAAATTTTGGTCATATAGCTACGACGTCTGCAATGTAGCAGTTTATAGTGATGTCTATTATTGGGGCATCATGACGCAGACATGTATCCTGACTCCAGATCGACCAGTCCTAGCATTAACGCCTTAATGCTGAGCGCGTAGCGAGGTAGCTGTTTGTACCATTTTTATGAGTCTTTGGTATGACTCAGCCCTGGTTCGAACCAGCGTCCTCCCGCATCTGAGGCAGACGCCCTAACCACTAGGCCACCAGAGCGGCATGAGTCAGTAAGTAGTATACTATATTGTAGAGCAGGTAAGTAGACTCATATGAAAAGTGAGATAAGTTGGCAATGCGTCCCCAACCCATTATATTATCATTGACATCATTATTATGGCAAATTAAGTAGAACGCAACATTATCACATTTATTTAAAATACATTGTAGTATCCCTTAAGTTCCTCTACATTTAGTGCTAATCAGGCTCTAGATTTCGTTTTTGTAGTCGTGCTGTACTATTGCATTTATTTTCCCGAAATTTTTTAATGTTATATCAAATGACATGGAAATTAAGGATGGTCCATTATAAATATATACAGTAACATTTTCTCTTTAAGAAGTTTGTGTTCTCGAACCCTTGTAATTCAAACAAACGATGCCATACTGCATCGAATTTCAAGTTGGTTGTGGTATCAGTGATCAGCATGTAAAAAGAACTAAACCTTAAAAGAAGTATGCTACTTTATAATGTTAGAATGGACAACTGCACGGGAAAATCGAGAACAATTCTAGTGTGAAACAGTCCAAAATGATTTACATGTGCATAAATATGGAGCTCATGCATACGAAGACTTTACATACATACACGTATGCGTACACCCACACCCACGACCACTAACACATATTCACACGTACGCATACTCAGAGAATACAGTGACATAAAGAGTATTTAAAAGAGGCTGTTTACTTCAGGATGAGGACACTTTGCCACCAGCGATGACGTCCGTAATGGAATTGGAATAGTTCGTTTACTACTTGATTTGAAAAATGGAATTTGAATAGTTCGTTTATAACTTGATTTGAAAAAAATAGAGCAGCTATGGTAGATTCGAAACCGAGCAACAAAACACCAGCAAATATGAGAAAGAGAGATGCCATTAGTTTTTCTGGATACGACCCTTCTTACTTCTTCTTCTTCGTCTTCTTCTTCTTCTTCTTCTTCTTCTTCTTCTTCTTCTTCTTCTTCTTCTTCTTCTTCTTCTCTCTCTCTCTCTCTCTCTCACACACACACACACACAAACACACACACACACTGGAATGGTAACGAGCAAAATAATAGTGCTAATCACAATCAGTAAACAGAGGAAAGATAAACAATAATGAGATTGATAATGACACATGTAAGCAAACATTTGAAATATCATTACTTGAGAACAAATTTATTTCAGGGTTACTTTAAAATCTATAATTAAAATTTTTGGATAGATGACATGAGAATAAAAGATAGAAAGAATCAGTATAAGAGGAATAATATACATAGCTGAAGGAAAAACAAAGAACACATTTATATATTTTAAAAATACGCTCCCAAAGAGGGTCAAACGCCTGTGATACGAATTTGAGATAGTTAAGAAATAATCGTACACTTTCCCTCTACACCACGAATTCTTGCAACGGTGCAGAGAAATGATTATAAATAGCATGTTCTTTTGGTTGATATAATTTTTGTCCCAAAAAGGTGTTTTCTCCATTTAAAATACCTTTTGCAAGCTTTTGCATTACAAAAAGAGTAAACATGAAACACTGTAATATAATCTTTTTCTTCAATAAATACTTTTTCGATTACTTCTGCATTCATTCCTACTCACCCACCCGCAGTGTCGTTGCTTGGGGAGAGGGTAGGACGGGACAGTTGTCACCGCGCACCATGTGCCAGGGAAGCCAAAATGAGGAAAATACATTGTATTAGTTATCTCAGATGCAGTCTAAGGGGGTGACAAGTGTATTTTTCCCCAGGCGATATGTACCCACCCCCTCCCGGTTTATTATCATCTGATGACGGAAATCTAATCTCCAGTAGATGCCGCAGTAAAGTTATGTAAGAAACTCATCCAAGCAAACCTTTTGACAATAATACTTATTCATAATTGCATTGGAAATCTGTTAATTGCTGATTTCAGTACTTTTATAGTTTCCATGTTTATGATTCAGATTATTATTTCAGACAGAAAAAGGTTTGTCAGAGTTGAAATAGCGCATTCACACAACCGTAAAATATAGTCTTTAGTCTTGAAAATGATCATGGTAAGGGATAGATACACTGTATTATTATCTCTATAATAATTCCGTTATCTTTTAGACCCCATTGGTAAAGTAATACCCAAAGCTGCTTGTTGTTGTTGTAGGTCGATTTCCTTCATGTGCCTCCTCTATATACAACCCCATCAATCCAGTATCCAAATGTTCCTGAACGCGATTAGTAAAAATCAAAAATATTGGAAATGACTGACAAAATTTGAATATCAGTTATGTCACTAAAAATAGGATAAAAGAGGCATTGTGTGATACTTTGTAGTTGGATTGTGTGTCCCGTACAGCGAGGGACCTAATGGATGAGTTAAAGACACGATTTGTTTTATTTGTCTTTCCGCATGAGGACCACCTTGATTTCTTAAAAATAGCTCCATTTGTAGCATAAAATGGGCATTTTATAGCAACGTGTGACGTCATGGCCATGTGCATATGACGTCATATGAAATAAATTAAAAAGTCAATTTAAAAACAAATTTGCAGTTTGAAGTTTTCAAATTTTGATACAGATTTTGTCTTAGTATTTTCACATCAATAATTAGTTTGAAAATTTGCTAATTTATGGGCCAAAATTAGACCTTATAGAACCAACCCCTTTAATCGAATTACACGTGATCTTTCTCCTCAAATTTGCTGTTAATAGTACTTCCTTTCTTCCATACTGAAATGGTAGGAGCAAATATTACAGTCAGCCTGATTAAAATCAAGATATATTTTCAAAGAGTAGAGCTGACAGACACCGATAAAGACTAGCCCTTAATAGGTAGATCTGACAGACATCAATAATGGTCTGTATTTAATAGATACATCTGACAAACATCGATTAAGTTCTATCTTTCAAAACTTAGATCTGACATAAACGATAACTGTCTATGTAGGTTCGAATAAAGGTACATCTTTAATGGTAGATTTGACAAGCACCGAAAAAGTCTGTCTTAATAGGTAGATTTGACGGACACATAAAGTACGATCTGTAGTAGATAGATTTAACAGATACATATTAAGTTGTATGTAATTGGTAGGTTTGATAGACACATATAAAGGTGTCAGTAATAGGTAGTTTTGACAGATAATGATAAAGTTCTATCTGTAATAAGTAAATTTGATAGACACCAATAAAGGTCTATCTGTAATCGGTAGATTTGACATACACAGATAAAGGTCTATCTGTAGTAGGTAGTTTTGACAGACACCAATATAGGTCTACCTGTAAAAGGTAATTTGATAGACACCGATGAAGGTCTATCTGTAATAGGTAGATTTGACAGACACAGATAAAGGTCTATCTATAATAGCTAGATTTGGCAGACACTGTTAAAGGTCTATCTGTAACAGGTAGATTTAACAGACACCATTAAAGGTCTCTCTGTAATAGGTAGATTTGACATACACCGATAAAGGTCTATCTGTAATAGGTAGATTTGGCAGACACCGATGAAGGTCTCTCTGTAATAGGTAGATTTGGCAGACACCGATGAAGGTCTATCTGTAATAGGTAGATTTGGCAGACACCGATGAAGGTCTATCTGTAATAGGTAGATTTGACAGACACCGATGAAGGTCTATCTGTAATAGGTAGATTTGGCAGACACCGATGAAGGTCTATCTGTAATAGGTAGATTTGGCAGACACCGATGAAGGTCTATATGTAATAGGTAGATTTGACATACACCGATAAAGGTTCATGTTAGGCAAAGCATTGCATTTTACGTTAGGCTGAAACATAGTCAAAATTGTTATGCTTCATGGTGCTTTATGAATTCCATACAGACCCCATCATGTTTTCTATCGCAAAATCTTGAAAGATATTGATAGAAAATGAAATGTGGCAGATAAACTTTTCTTTCTTAGCTAGATCTTAGCTACATTTCATCAAAACATTTGTTATTGTCAAGTGTTTCATTTGCATAGCTAGAATAGTTATATGCGTCGGTAAATAAACACCAAAGTTTAATGAAATTAAACTATAAAGGTATATAAGTCGAGAAGAAACTAAGTTTTATAAAAGAATTAAACGTAAGTATATTCTTTGATAATTACCATGGAAACACCGTCGTTGCTTAGTGCACCTATGACGTTAAAAACTGCAATGTAATCGCCTACGACAGGTTTCTGGCACAGGGGTTAACTCAATGACACAGAACTTCTCAGATACTATTAGGTTGCACTCTTGGCTTGTCATGTCCTGGAAGGAAACGCATATGTGCTGAGATGGTATGATACCCCGCCAATCGCTGCTTTGTCAGGATAATTGGCCGTTAACTGCGTTTTGCTAAGAGTCTGTGGTCATGGTTTTAATTGCCTTCTGCACTAAGCTGAGCATGATCGATGACGCGTCACAGCTGGCATCAAAATGGTGAGCTTAGAGATTTAGCTTATTGCCGTCTTCAGTATTGTCGCGAAAAATGGCGATGTTTAGCATTACCTTGAGCATATACCTACAGAAGCTAAAGATGTGAGTCAGTACAGAAAAAGTTACTATGCGCACCCACCTCGCACTGATCAGCCTAGGTTAAAGTTTGGGTAGCTATTTGTTATCACATCGACAACGCAATCAGTTCAAGTGTTGTTGGTGGCACTTGCGGTTGGAAACTGAGGCATCACTGGCACAGTATGTTGTGTCCTTCGTGAACATTGATGGGCATGCTCTGGGAGCAAAGTAGTTGCCATAGAATGGTTGGTGTGAAATTATGCAGGCAGAGCAAAACGTCTTTGCTATCAATAACGTAGTTAGCAATGCCAAAGAGCGCCACCATATCACTAGTGACAACTGCTTCGGTATCCTGTGAGGAATTAAGGGGATATTGGCTCAGCTGCAGTAGATTTAGATACACACAAGTGCAGTCTCGAGGTTGCGAACCTTAAATCACCTCAGAAAGATAGCGTTAAATGTCACATTCTTTTGCATTTTCGCACTTTTGTCCATCTTGTCATTTTGATCGTCTTGCCGACAGTACACTGAGTCATACACTTCGTT